CTACATCTGTGCAGGAGGTCTAGGTTATCTCTATGCATGGTACTTGGTTGGAGTATGAGTCTCAGGAAAGACCCCATGTGCTCAGATTTTTTGGTTCTCTTGCTCTCCTTGTGGAGTTCCTGTCCTCTCCAGGTCTTACTGTTTCCCACTTCTTTCATAAGATTCCCTGCACTCTGCCCAATAGTTGGCCATAAGTCTCAGCATCTGCTGTGATAGTCTGCAGGGCAGAGCCTTTCAGAGGCCCTCTGTGGCAGGCTCCTGACTTGTTTCCTGTTTTCTTCTTCTTCTGATGTCCATCTTCTTTGCCTTTCGGGATGAGGATTGAGCATTTTAGCCAGAGTCCTTCCTCTTGATTAGTTTCTTTAGGTGTACAGATTTTAGTAGGTTCATCCTATATTATCCAAAAGAGGCTCAAGTACACAATAAGGACATTTGCTCAACCATGTTTGTAGCAGCTTTATTTGTAGTAGCCAGAAGCTGAAAACAGCCCAGATGCCCCTCAGTGGAGGAATGGATACAGAAATTGTGGTACATCTACACAATGGAATATTACTCAGCAATAAAAAGCAAGGAAATCATGAAATTTGCAGGTAAATGGTGGGAACTGGAGAAGATCATCCTGAGTGAGCTATCCCAGAAGCAGAAAGATACACACGGTATATACTCACTCATATAGACATATAACATAGGATAAACCTACTAAAATCAATGGGATTTCTTAATCAAGGGAATGAAGACAGATGCCAGTGAGTCCTTTTGTGGTTTAATGTTTAGTGGTTGTGGAAAGGCAAAGATTTAAGATCAGTCTGCACATTTCCACTTGGTATTACTGAATGAGGAACACTGGGCCCAATGTCACAGATGTTTCCCAAGATTGAGAGTAGAATCCTCTGGAAAGGGCAGGGACTATGATGTAAAATGTAAAATGAGCCAAGCTTTGAGATGAGAAAATTTTGAATTCTCCTCCATATTCTGAGTGACTTTCGGGAAATCAGCAAGCTAGGAATGATTGGAAGATAATCGTGAGTGTTGCTGGAAAAGCCGAAGACCTCCGGACTGTGTCTGAAGAAGTCAAGTGCCAATGGCTTCCTATGAAAGTCCTCCTGTGGAGAGCTGGAGAGGTGGCTCAGAGGTTAAGGACACCGGCTGTTCTTCCTAAAGGTCCTGAGTTCAATTCCCAGCAACCACATGGTGGCTCACAACCATCTATAATGAGATCTGGTGTGCAGGTACACATGCAGGCAGAATGATGTATTAAATAATAAATAAATAAATTGTTTAAAAAAAAAAAAGAAAGAAAGAAAGTCCTCCTGTGACTTTCCCCTTCTCATCCTGGGTCTCTGAGTTCAGCCCAAATCCCATAGAAATAGAACAAAGGGGTCCAGGAGGAAGATGTGGAAGGGGATGAGTCTCCTCCTGAACCTGATAGCTGTTCCAGAAGAAGAAAGAGTAGAAAAGCTGGTCTTTGAACTTCGCTTTTCATGATCAGGGATTTAAAAATTACAGCATTGTTAAAAATAACTGGGGTCCTTCTGACCGAGATGGCCTGAAGAAAGACCCCCAAGTACTTGCAACAGGCGCCACTATGATGGGCAAGTGTGTGATGGAGAGATGGAAAAGATGGAGTACAGGGAAATACAGAAGATACTCTAGACAGGCTGGAGGATCATATTTAAATACTAAAGTAAGGAAGAAATGCAAAAGAGGAAGAGTGGACCTATCATCCTTAAACTATTCTTTTTGTGTCATCCTGCTCTGGCTCTGGATGACCTTGGAGCAGTCACTCATTTTCATTGGATATCACTCTAAAACGCTGGTGACAGAGACTGTGTGACTTCCAGAACCATATCTAGCTCTTGACATTCCAAAAGTTTTCAGTGGCAAGAAACAGAATCAGTAGTGGAATTCACTTGGATGTAGTAGCTTTCATTTTCATTCTTCAAGCAGCCTCCCCCCAACCTACTTTTTCCAGTGCTAGCATGCATGCATAGCCTGCTATCCAGGACTGAGAAAGGGTGGTGTTGCGCAGTGGTTAAAATCACAGAATCTAGAGTCTGACGGTTTTTCAGTAGCAGTGCGATGGTGTGAAAAATTATCTACAATAATTCTTTTAATCTGTGAAATCTGGTTTTATACTTACTATGGGATTAATCATGTAATGAATGTAGAATGCATCTAATTTACGGCATTAGCACAGAACCCATTATCATTCTTGAGCAAGCAAAGAAAATAAATAAATAAATGAAAAGAGCAGAGCAGAACTCTGACAGTGTGACAGTAAGGTAGACTGGCCCATTCGTCAAGGTCTCACTTTGAATCAAACAGAATCTTTTAACACGTAAAGCGTACCACTCAGTCATTCAGACATTGGCAGTAATATTGGCTCCAAAATCAGACAGCCATGCTTCAAGCTCTAGCCAAGCCATATAACAGCTCTATCTTCCCGAATTTCAGATTATTTATAAAAATAAAATTTCTGCGGCTTTCCCTACCACAGTAATGAAAGATTTCTAGTTGCGGTCATTAAACACATTTTGAAAAGTGGTGTCTTGCTCATTTTTCCTTAGTATCATGATTTATCCATACATAAATGATTAGCAAGGCTGGGGAGAGGGTGTGGTGTGTGTTCAAGCATTTGTGCCTGCAAACATAAGGACTTGACTTTGCATCTCCAACATGCACGTAAGGTGTGCTGTGGTAGCATGCATTTGCAATCCCAGTGATCCTATGGTGAGGTGGGAAGCAGAGAGTGGAAATTTCCTGGAAGCTCCCAGACCATCTGCCCTGGCTTATGAAGCTTCAGACAATGACAACACAACAACAAAACTCTGAGGTTGTCATCTAACCAATACACACCCCCAACACACACACACACACGCACATACACACACACACGCACATACATTGCATGCCTACATACATCATACATATACACATAATAAAAAATGATTAGGAACAGTTCTTAGTGTTGAAACTGTGTAAGTTCTTGCTATCCATTTATTCACTTATTTAAACTTTATTTATGTGTGTGAATATTTTGCCCGTGTGTATATCTACCCACCGTATGTGTACCTGGTACACATATAGGCCAGAAGAGAGTGTCATATCCATTGGAACTGAAGCTACCCACGGCTGTGAGCTGCCAGATGGGTGCTGGGAATCAAACCCTGGTCCTCTAGAAGAGCCGCCAGTGCTCTGAATTACTGAGCCACTTTTCCGGCCCAGCGGTATAGATATTTCATCTTTAATTTCTGTTTACAATTATGCTTCTTTTCTGACCTCAGCTCGGCTGTGACTTCTAATACCCTTCTCCTAGAGCACAGTAACACTGACTGGGTTGGCGTTCACTTCTGGGAAAGAATGGGATCATGGAGAAAGTGACGGCATAGAATAGACTGGTGACGGCTATTAGAGCAGCCTGGAGAGCAGTGTCTGCTCAGATCACACGTGGTAATAGTCATCAGCCACTACTCTTCCTCTTGTTCCCTCTCAAACTTGCCATGTAAGGAAATCAAGCAGAGGAAAACAAAAAGTCTAATCACCCTCTCAGTAGAAGCAGGGGATAAATGATCTATGGGGATCCTTGGTTACTTCCAACTTCTTGTATAAAGTGCTGGGACCCTCCATAGAAGGTCATCAGCATTTTAGCTTGTGCTGAATTTGACTTTCTCTTTAATGCTGCCCCATCACACACTGCAGTGAAGGCAAAATGACTTGCTAGGGACTATAACACGAAACAGAGATCGGGCTGCTGTTGTTGCCAAAAGAGGCTTCCAACAACATCGGTTGTGATTAAATGGCACCACACGCAACAGCTAGTGATCCTGATAAAAAGCCCTATTTTGGGTAGGTCCAACCTCATTATGAGAAATATTATCCCAACAAAAATGCTGTATTTTCCATTGTAGAATCTTGGTGTTAGCTCTCTCGTAGAGGAGGAAGAGGAGGAGAAGGAAGAGATGGAATAAGATGAGGAGGAAGATTCCAGATCAATAAAGCAATGTATTTGCATTGTATTGTACTTGGAGCACAATGTAATTAGTTTTGGCATCTATGCTAAAACATATAAGACCAAAGCATGAGTCCGGCCAGGTCCTCTTGCTCTTCCTAGTCACCTTTTCCAGGGGAAAAATAAACCCACTACATAGGTGGAGCTGAGTTCCAGTTAGCCACAGGAAGCAGAATTTACCAGCACTAGCCCAGCCTCTCAGGAGGCATCCTATAGATTGGAGGCATGGTTTAGCTGTTGTGAGCTGGGTAAAAGGAAAAAGAAATCTTGATTCAAATACAGAAGCTTCGGGGGGGGGGGGGGTGTCTGGTTTCTTAATGCGCATTTACATTCCAAACATATTTTCTGCCAGAGTCCCAGGAAAGCCCCCTCTCTCCTTTCACTCCGACGCTGGAAAGCAGGCTCCTAGGAGATGGAGTTAGAAGCCAAGAGCTTGTGTGGCGGCGCCCTGTGGTCCCTCTTGGAAACAGAGAAACAAAGGGCCCGGGCTCCAGGGAGGCCCTTGCTCTCCTAGGCTACCCATCCTCCTCCCAATTGCTCAGATTTAAAGAGGAGGGCGCAAGAATCGGTCCAGGGATCTCTGGAGCGGGACTGGGAACAGGCGAAATCTCATTGTGCTCGATGGAGGTGTGTGACTGTGGCAGTGACCAGAGAGGTATACGTCCTTGCTTTAACCCTAGCAATGAACCCTCAGTTTGTGTTAGCATCCAACCCCATGCTGCCTAGTCTCCAAGGGGAGAAAAGATGTCTTCAGCGCTCCAGTGGAGATACTGGAGTCGGGCCCTGGGTTTCCAGGCCTAGACCACACAGCCCCACCCCGGTTCTTATCCCACCTAGGGTCACGCGGGGCGGGAAGCGCCAGGAGCGCGCCGGGCAGGTGCGCCAAGTCTCACCCCTCCCCGCCTCCCCGCGGCTCCCCGCCCCTCGCGCAGCCGGGCGCCTCTCGGTGGCCACGAAGCGCTGGAGCAGAGAGGAGGAGCCTCGGACACCCAGCGGGAGGAGTCGCGAGTTGGAGGGCGGTGGAGGCGGATTTCCTGGGAGGGCTCTCAGGAGCTACCATGGCGTTTGGGAAGAGTCACCGCGATCCCTACGCTACCTCGGTGGGTCATCTCGTAGGTAAGGAGCCACGGGGAGCAACGTGCCGGCTGGCTTGGGGGACCGTGGGAGCTTTGCCGGCTCGACTCCACTGTGGGGGCCCGAGTTGGACCAAGTTGGAGAAAATGCTACCCTCCCCCCGCAGCTTTCCCACGCCACCTGTGTGCCACCTGCGGCAGCTGTCCACCTTTCGGTTTTGGCGCACTCGGGCTGGCACCTCTCTGAAAAAAATAAATGCAAAATCTCCCTTTGGATATCAGCTGCTCGAGTGGAGCCAACGCAGGTGACCCGCGGGCACTGCGTGGAGTGTTGGGACCGCTGGGAGGAGAAAGTGGAAACTTCTTGACCCCGGGAAGGTTCTTCATAAAGTGCGTCCACTCCCAGCACTTTATTGTTGTGCCCATTTTACAGATCAGGAAGAGAAGGCTCAGAGAAGCTAGTTGGTGTGATCTCACCTGGAGAGGCAGGTTTTTCTCCAAACCACTTTTCTCAATTGAGCGCACAGCACAAGCGATCTGAGTGGAGTTTGATAAACAGGGAGATTGAAAAATGCACGTTGTCCCGTAGGAGGACTGCGAGAGGGGCCATCTGCAGTCACAGGGCCCTTGCACCCAGCCAGCGCCGTCCTCCCTTCTCACCTTGTGCTTGTGCTCAGAATTACAGAGGTTGTGGGCGCAGAAGCCACCGGCTGCACTTGGCCTTTGACCACCTCAGCTCCCTTCTTTCTCCTGACCAACTCCCTCGAGGACAGGGTGTGGCACCAGGAGGCATTAATGACAGATAAACTGTCTGGAACCTAGTGGGGTGATGAAATCCTCAGAGCCTGGTAGTTGTAAGGAGAGCTCAGATTCAGAAAGTTTAGATTGAAGGGACAGAGAACTGTAGGGACAGAGAACACCTTTGAAGTTAAACCTGAGTTTCCGAGTCTTCAAAACATGGAGAGAGTGCCCAGCCTTGAGAAAAAAAAAAAAAAACAAAACACTTTGTGAACTGCCTATCTCCTTGCTGAAAAGTGTATTAGAATGAGTCCTGAGCAGAATTGGGTCCACGCTGGATATTTACAGGCAAAAGAAACTTCAGCAGTATGTCACATTATCCTTTAGTTCTGTAAACATTTGGGACTACCAGCTAGATGTCTTCGCAAAGGCATGGTCTCACCCCCCAGAAGGAGAATGGACATAGTCTGTAGTAACCACTGTAAGACACCTTTACAATACTAAAAACCACTTATGACATGCAGAAAGGGAGAAACAAATTCAGCCATGGCCTTTGAAGTGTGACTAGGAGTTTTCTAGGAAGGAGCAGGTTGGGAGGGAGGAGGAGGACGTATCTAGATGGAAGAGCATTGCATGCCTAATAAATAATACAAGCAAGATGGCTCAGCTTTGTCCATTTGGAACCAGATTAAAGTGTCACACTGTGGTTTGCGCTGTGCCTGGTGATCCTTGTCATAGAAGCCAGTAAATGCATTCACATTAGCGAATGTGAATGGTGCTCAACCTGTATACTGCCCGATGACCCTTCGTAAAGATCACCTAAGAACATTGGAAAACACAGGTATTTACATTACGATTCCTCACCATGGCAAAATTGTAGTTATGAAGTAGCAACGGAAAAGATTTTATGGTTTGGGGGTCACCACGACAGGGGGAGCTGCATTAAAGGGTTGCAGTGTTAGGAAGGTTGAGAAACACTGCATTAAAGGTTCTTTGACCCCTCATTCTGTATTCATAAAGAGGCCATCTAGGGAAGGGACTGTCAAGAGCGAGCGTGAGGGTGTAAATCTGCCTGGTGTAAGTTTGATGCCAGAAGCCATCAAGCTCTGCAATTGTGCTAATACTTCCTTTTTTTTTCCTCACACCCCTCCAATACATAATTAAAAAATATAAACAGTGGAATCAAACAACGCTGATTTGAATGCAAGTTCTACGTCCTACTTGATGCGTATCCTTGGATAATTCCCTTACTCTGTCTAAATTTCTCTTACATCATTTGTAGTGGTGGGTTAAGAGAGAAAAGACTGAGAGATGTGTCTGTTGTTTGTTCACCTTGCCCGTGACTGCCCATATCTGACCTTCTGTCTTCCCAAAGAGGCTGAAGGATGGAGAGTTAGCCAGTCTGTGTTGGCTCTGTGGCCAGCTGTTGTAGGCCTTCTTAATGGTTCACTCATTGCTGTTGCAACAGCAGCACTCTGGCCTTGACTTCCTCAATTACTAGGAATTGTTAGGAGGAGAGAAACAAAACAAAACCCAAACAAAAAAACCAAAACACTTTACCCTTTGTTAGCACAAACCTAATGGTACTTTTGAGAGCAGCCCAAGCAGATTATTTCAAGGAGACGAGATTTTTTTTTTTATTCTGCTGTGTCTCAGACTCAACACAGGCAGCTTTATCTTTGCAGAAAAGGCTACATTTGCTGGAGTTCAGACTGAAGACTGGGGCCAGTTCATGCATATCTGTGACATAATCAACACCACACAGGACGGGTAAGTTCAAGGTGATGCCTGCGAACCTGTGCCTGAGAAGACCCATCGGAACCGAGGCATGGTTTCCCTTGCCAAGTTTTGGGGGTTTTGTTGGAAGAAAATTTCACCATCCTTTAGGCATCTCTTGCCTCATGAGGATGGCAGGTCGGCTGGGGCCAACTCCTTCCTCCAGCATGCAGAGGACCCTGAGAGTTCATTACAGTTTGTCCCAGTCCTTTGCCTTTTCTTTACTAGTTTAAATTTTGTCTCACTCAAATTCCCTGCTTTAAAATTTTTTTCAGAGAAAGATAAATTGTTTCTTTCTTGAGAGCTTTCCCACGCTCTAATTGCCAGTGTTTTGTAATAAGAGCATTATGCCAAAGCTGCTAGCTGCTACGCGGTTTCTAGTGGTGGCCATGCAGGTGGTGACCAACCCTCTTGATTAATCAGGAAACAACTGAGGGGACAGTGTTTATCCTTCATCGTGCCAGCTCACCCATGTTCATACTTGGCTCTTACAAGATATTCTGTGTATTAATAGCTAAACCTGAAGCTATAAAGAAAGGAAAAAGAAAGTCATTAGCAGGGACTACTACTTTGAATTTAGTCATAGGTTATAATAAAAGGTGAAACTTGTTCATTTTCCTGAACATTCTTAAGGGATAATTGGTAGAACAAGATTTAGTCTAGTGTGTGCTGATGAAGAAAACATGGCAGCATAATTATTGGTTATATATTAATGGCAAGTGCCTATGGTTGACACTTAAGCGTTTACAGATTTTTTTTTTTACAGTCTAACAGAAGCAGATTTTTTAAATGTGACTCTGTATGTGGTGTGCACAAATACATGTGTGTTCACATGTGTGTGAGTACACGTCTGTGTGGAAGCCTTAGGCTGATATCAGGGGTCTTCCTCAATTGCTCTCCTGTGGATGTCTCAGTTGAACCCAGAGCTGTGCAGTAAAGGTAGTTAACTAGCCAGCTTACCCCTGGGGTCCATCTCTATCTTCTAAGCAAGCATTAGAATAATAGACAGGCTATAATCTGTCCTCCATCAATTTACCTGGGTCTGGGGGTCCTGATACAGTCCTCAAGCTTGCATAGCATTTTCCCAGCCACACATGTATAATAATAATAATAATAATAATAATAATAATAATAATAATAATAATATATACACACATTTATATAGTCTTGTATTTATAGTATTATAGTATTGTGTGTATATATATAATCTATGTTGTACTTAGATCCTCTATGAATCTTTTCATTACTATTATCAATTTCTTCATTTATCTTGAGAAAGAAAACACTAACAAAGTGAATTCTGATCCTCTGCTTTAAGATCTTCCCAACAAAGTTATAGCATACGAGAATTAGAAACTGCTGTGATTCTTATATCACCTTACCTATAAGGTACTCAGGAAGTGCTAAGAGTCTTAACAGGATCATTTTTCTTTTGTTGTTTTGGGGTTCATTTCTTATAACCTGATTCTGTGCCTTGACAGAAGCCAGTGTACATACATTTTGTGACCAGTGTTTTCTTTGTAATACTCTTACATAAATATCTTAGTTGTGTGCAACCGGGGAGTTCTGGTGTGTGGTAGTTGGTGTGATCTATCTCACAGGGAAACTTAGATGTGGTAAATTTAGTGGCCTACCCAACGTGTCAACAGAATCAAATATTGATCTTTAGGCTTAAGCCACTTCCATCTCTGTATTATACACTGCTTTCATAGAGACTGCTTCTATATCCAAATCCCTGATTTCAGTGTATGTGTCGCTATAGGCCAAGAGATGCAGTGAAAGCCCTGAAGAAAAGGATCTCCAAAAACTACAACCACAAAGAAATCCAACTTTCCTTGTCAGTAAGTACTTTTAATGCTATAGTTAAGATTGTTGGGTTTCTTACCTAGAATTAACATTTTTAATGAGTTAAAAAATGTAATCCAAGGGACGAGCCCTGGGTAATAATTCATTCAGGACTGTATGGCTTAAGCTTCTTCATCTATCGAGGACTGCAGAAGGGAGTTCAGTTAATTCCAGTGCTGTCTAATTTTGTAGAACAAAAACTTTCCTACAGAATCCGTTTTTCTTGATCAAGATCTTGAAACTTGCAGTTTAAAACTGATAGGAGGTAAATGGATCAATAAGTGTGTGTTTGTATTTGCTGGCCATGTTTGAAGAAGGAAGAAAAAACGAAGTGTGAAAGACGGTTCTCTGACAGCTTTCTGTGTCCCTTCAGCACCGTTGTGGAATCCTGTGGTGCTGGCATCCCCTTCAGTTTCAGCCAGTTCTTCTGATGGTTGAAATTTGGAGAACATTCTCTGTCACTTTATGCATTTCTCCTGTGCCCTGTTTCTTTTGTGATACAGATGGGAGTGAGCTCTTATTGACATAGTCCCATTTCCCCCTGGTTTTTACCTCTTCAGTCACATTGGTGAGTGGCCTTTTTTACATTGGAAATGAGCTGTACGGCTTCCTCATTTCTTCTGGAAGTTAGACTACAGATAGGCATTGCCAACAGCACACTGTTTTTAGGGGTAATGGCAGTGTTTAATAGAAGGTTATAATGCAGATGTCAATATTATTCACCACCTTTAGATTCACAGGGCAAAATAATGTATCACATAGTGTTTACTTGGAGACTTACTCTTTACTGGAGAAAAGAAGTTAACTAAATAGTACCCATGCTACAAATAAAGAACAAACCCTTCCCTTGTGATCTGACTATAGTTTTAAAGACATTTTCCTCCTTCCTGGTTTTTAGACTCTCCTCTGTCTCTAAATCATTGCAGCCTGCTCGTGAAGACTACAGAATGATGGGAACTGTTTAGAAAGGAATAAAATGCTTCTGTAGGAATACCAGGGTATCGGGACCAGGATAGAAATGCCTGGTATGTTACCTGGGCAGTGGTGGCGCATGCCTTCAATTCCCACTCTGGAAAGGCAGAAGCAGGCCTATCTCTGTGAGTTCAAGACCAGCCTTGTCTACAGATGGAGTTCCAGGACAGCCAAGGATACACAGTGAAAACCTATTTCAAACAACAGCAAACAAACAAACAAAAACAAATAAAAGAAATGCCTGGTACAAGGCTGTGACCACCAGTGGAGATAACTGTCTTATCAGTTCCATTGCACAAGATAATGAAACATAGAATGTTCAGTGACTGTACTGACATTGTCTTGCTATTAGTGTTATCATGTGTGAAATTTGAACCCAGTCCCAAGATTCTAAATTCTATGCCCTTTCTTCATACCACTTTTCTTAGAATGAATCAGGTCTCTCGTGTGTTTTGTTTGTGTCTTCAACACCATCCTACATGCACAGTACAGAGTCAGAAATACCAGTGGATCCAGTATAGACTGAGTTGATTTAAGTCCCTTCCCTTTCTTCCTCAAACTTCATCCCGTTTCTCCTAGTTTCTCCAGGAAGACTCGGGGTCTAATTGAAGGTATTTTTTAGACTAAGGTAGGGAGAAATGTAGGCAGTGCTAAAATGAAGTGGATCTAGAGTATCTCAAGAGTACAGAAGGTCAAGAGAACTGAGTGGGAAAGATAAAGGAGGGGTAGTATGAATGTATACTACCTTCCTTATTTACATGTGGGTATCACGTTGCCATCTTACAGTTGTTTATCCTCTTTAGTGGTTTGCTTCTGTTAGTTTTGTGTGTAGACTCCTTGACATTTCAGTGGTTTTAAATCTCCAAGTCCATGTTTTCCTCTTCCCTTGGACTGGACAGGGCCCTCTCAGAGGAGGAGGAGGAGGAGGACATCTGTAGAATGTTGTCCCATGGATCGTCCATTTCTCTTTAGGGTTCCAGCCTCCCTTTCTGTTAGTCTAGCCTTTCAAACTTTATTCCAGCTAGCTGCTTCTTTGCATTACATGGCCATCTTCTTACTATAGCTAACCTGTTTTGTGATTGCCCTACCAGCATATGAAAACCAGAGGGTCTGAAAGCCCATGCTTACATAAGGGTTAAGATTCAGAAGTCAACTTCATTGTCAGCATCCAAGTCAAGGAAGATGCCTGCTTTTTCTTATATTTTCTTTCTTTTCCTTGCTTTATTTTAAGCATTTATTTTTATTTACGTGTATGTGCCTATGTGAGTGTATATGGCACGTGTGCAAGGGCACTCAGAATCCAGAAGAGGGTGTCAGATCCCTGGAATTAGAGTAAAAGGCAGTTGTGAGCCCCTCAGTGTGAATACTGGGAACTGAACTTGGGTCCTCTGGAAGAAGCAGCAAGTGCTCTTAAGCACTGAGCCATCTCTTAGACTCTCTTAATTAATTTTAAAGTTGACATGCAGAGCAGTGGGTTTCCTCGTGTCATTTTAATCTGTATCAGTAAGCATTATTCTTATTCATCCCTTTTTTTTCCGTCCCTCCTTCATCATTCCCCTCTTACTAGACCCTTTCTATGCCCAGTAGTTCCCCTTATTTCATGTCCCTTTTCCCCCTTATTACATTCCTATAAAATATATTGAGTTGAGCGGGGCATGGTGGTGTATGCCTGTAATCCCAGCATTCAGGGAGGCAGAGCCAGGTGGATCTCTGTGAGTTCGACGCCAGCCTGGTCTACAAAGCGAGTCCAGGACAGCCAAGGCTACATAGAGAAACCCTGTCTCAAGGAACCAAAACAAAAACAAACAAACAAAAGATATATTGGGTTGAACAAATAAGCCAGATTCTAAAAGAGAAATAACAATTTTTTCACATATACAGAATCTGGATTGAAGTGTGTGTCTGCATACGTGTGTAGGCTGGCCACATCGACAAGGGGCCATGAGAGGGAAGAAATTTCTCTTGAGTTTTCCCAAAATGCATCTTGGTAGATGCATGTACAAAGAATGGCCATGCACCTCAGCTCAGCTTACTCATTGTCTTTCGGAGTTCCTCTCAAGTTCTCTGCACTGAATTCAGTATTCTCTTAGGCTAAACTAAATTAGGAGAGAAATTAGCCTCAGAGAGAATTGCCCAATGTCTGTCAAAGGCAATTATAGGCTTATCAATAGACTCTTAATTAAAAAGTCATCTCCCATGTAATATTTCCTTCTTATTTCTGTGAAGTGATATAATCCTAAGTCAATTGTGAATGTTTTTCATATTGTCTGTCATTTTGAATTCTACAAGGACTTGCCACCCTTTGTTAGATCTTTGACATAATCTGACTATACTGTGATTTTTTTTTTAAACCAACAGTCATTGGTGTAGTTTTTTCAAGGAGTCCGTAGCTTTTTAGGTTTTTTTCCTCTTGCAATGCTGTGGAGAGAATCCAGGCCCTTGTGCATTCCAGAGGAGGGCCCTACTACTGAGATACACTCCCAGCCCCAGAAGTCAACAGCTCTGCTTTGTCTTGTGTTCAGAGTTGCTACTAAGCTTTATTGCCCTAAGCTAGACTCTTGAATCAGTCAATTGTGACTAACCTCAGCAAATACTACTGTCATTGTCAAATGAAAAGTGGTTGAGCGAGTTACTGAGAATAAATGAAACGTAATAGTCCTTTATGGAACACATACTAATAAAGAGTTACAGCGATTTCAGGAGTTAATGTGAAGGTGAGTGTCCATCCAGTAGCTTATCACAGGAGAAATGATAAGACAGCTTTTTTCTGGATGTGACTATTATAATATATCCTTGCCTTCATGGAGTCAATGTTAGTGGTCCAGACACAGCTCCGATGGACATCGTTTAGATACCTACCTAGAGAAGCAAAACTGCCCAATAGCTCTTTTTCTTCCATCTGTAAAGAATTTATATTTCCATCGATAGGCGCGTTCTCTCATACTAGAACATCGTCCATACATACAGATGGTCTTGGTGGTTACCATTTGCACAGGTCCCCGCTTTGTGCCTCCCTCTCGCAGTATGTCACAACTCATCAGGCTCTTACAGCGAGCTCCTTGAAGGAGGCACAATGCCCATTATGTGGACAGCGTTGACCCGAGTTCATGTAAGCGATTTGCTCAGCTAAGCACAAAAAGAGATGGGTAAAGCTTTGGGTCACTCACTCCCACTTTTCTTGGTTGCCTGTTTCCTACAGTTCTCTCTCCTACTTCAGGTTATGGATTCCTACTGACCCTGTTTGCCAAAGATGGGTTGTCCAAGCACGTTTGCACCAGAGCTGGATAGCAAAATAAGTTAAGCGACTCGTGCAAGCTTGCTCATTTGCCACAGTGTGTTTTAGAACACAAGTGAGCTGGGGGGTGAGGACTGGAGACATAATGGAGGAGATGATATAGAAATAATGAGCCCTGACACTCTTGATTCCAGTGGGAAAACACAAAAACATCTGCTGATCTCCAGATGTTAACAGTCTCAGGACTTTCTGTTGACTCTGATTTTTGTGCATGTACCTCCCAGGAATATTGCTCACCACCATGAAGTACTGGTATGCCAAAGATAAAAGTCAGTCTGGGCAATATTTAGCAAGAAATTCATCATTTACCTGACTTGTAAGGCAAAGGGAGATGTGGAAGCACAAGCAGTCGCCTGAGTATTTCCATGGGGTCACATTGAACAGTGCAGCAGTTCTTAACCTGTGGGTTGGGACCCCTTTGGGGGTCGATCAGCGCTTTCACAGGAGTCACCTAAGACCATCCGGAGAGCACAGATATTCACATTATGACTCATTAGCAGTAGCAAAATTACAGTTATGAAGTAGCAATGAAAATAATTTTATGGTTGAGGGGATCACCATAACATGAGGAAGTGTATTAAAGGAATTAAAGCATTAGGAAGATTGAGAACCACCAGAATAGAGGCACTAGTCTTTAGCATCTCACTTATTAAAAGCTCATGTTAATAGACAAGCTCAGCATCATTTCTGTTTTGCCTTTCCAACTCTGTCTAGCTAGCTTACATGAATAATATTTTACTTCCTTGTGGTTTCTGCTTCTCCCTTTGCTTTAAAAGGTGTCCCCATGTAGCTTCATGTACAGAGCTTCCATATTTTCTGATTGCTTCCACAGTCTCATTGCTTTAAAAGTATAGCTTTGTGTACCTGCTGTTACTTTTGTATTGCATCAAAGTGATACTCAAAGTACAGCGCATGTTGGGAAGTCAGATGCCGGGGCCGTTTTTCTGGAGATGATGACAACTTTCCTGGTCAGGGCATAGTTTCTTCGGTCTCCCAAACACAAAGTGGCCTGGAGATTTAATTTCACCTTTAGATCATTTTTAGAAATTGGCTTTCCGCGTGCAGTTTTTCCATTGCAGCTCCTTCTTTCATAGCTCAATTTGTGCCTGTGTTGTTTTTTTCAAAGTAATGAATGGCCCCGCTAGTCAGTGGACACATTACAGTTGTTCTGTCCATATTAGTAACTACTAACAGCCTTCTTTTTGGAAGCTTCTTCTGACTTTACCAACATTATTTTTTTTTCTTTTCTTTTCTTTCTTTTTTTCTTTCTTTCTTCCTTGCATGCATGCTTGCTTGCTTGCTTGCTTGATTTCTTGCTTGTTTTCTTTTCTTCTGTTGCTTTTTCACTGCCTTCATTGCATTTCTCAGACTCAATGTCCCAGGTATCCCCTCCTTTTTGCTTCTCCTTGGTGGCCATGATGACGCTCTCATGGCCCTTTACTCTCCTGACCTGCAGCTGTGAATGGAGAATTCTTTGCTAAACATGTTTGAATGTTTACTTTTCCTTTTAAACCTAAAATACCTAAATCTTGTCCCACCAATTCCACCCCTTGGGTCCCCAGACTATCACCCACCCCCTATTTCCAGGAGAGGCACCCTCAGCCTCATGCAGAGCGAAGGGCTCTTAGCTCTCTGTCCTCATGCTTCAGAAAATACATATACAAAGTTCTTCCTCACAGTTAATCCTTTCTGGTGTACTCACACCATCCTACTTCCACACTTTTCTGTGTTGGGTCTGTTCTGGTGAGTGCCTACCAAGTCACCTGTCACTCCCAGTTTTTCCATCTTCCAAGTTTCCTCTGTAGAGTACTGCTGGTACCTGTCCAGAATGTAACTTTTTATGACATTGACTAACAAATGCCCTTCAGGGACTCCCGGGTAATGTTTGGGCTCTATCCAGCCAGACACACTTCTGTACAGTCTAGATAACGCTCTCTCAGACTTTATCCGCAGTACCCTCCCTCCCAGTGTTCTCAATTTGCCTACATCAAAACACTACTACCAGAGAGAAAGTGGAGTGTGAATCTCCCATTGTGATAATTGATACACTCTGCCACATTTATTTATTTATTTATTTATTTATTTATTTATTTATTTATTCATTCATTTATTTATTCAAGCATGATTTATATTAGTCTTCTTTCCAGGAATCTCTATAATATCTACCCAAGGTAGCTTATGAAGAAGGTTCATTGTGGTTTGTGGTTTCAGACATTCATTATCTGGTGGCCTGTGGCTAGGTAACACACCAGGGTTGAAACATGTGGCAGAGTAAAATCAGTCACCTCATGACTAGGGAGAGGAAGGAAGGAAGGAAGGAAGGAAGGAAGGAAGGAAGGAAGGAAGGAAAGAAGTCATTGTTCCATAATCCCCTTTGAGGCTTCCCTGCCACGCACGACCCAGAACATCCCACTAGCCACTGTTTTTAAAGTTTCCGCTGCCTGCAAATATCAGCAAGCTTTAAACACAGGGACCTGTGGGGACGTTCCAAATGCAAACCGTAGCAGCACTTATCTATCTAGAATACCAGTGTGTATTCAATTCTACTTTCCTTGGTCATTTTTCAAAGCCCAGCTCAGCACGAGCCTTTTCTAAAATTCTCACACAGCCACCTGACTTTAAATAATCACACTTGCCTATAAAGATCTATTGCTAGACAGAACTGCAATTTATTATCCAAACCAGGACTTTTAAGAGTGAAAGGGCGTGCCATTGTTAACAACAGCAGGACAGCAGGAAGGTACCAGATGACCTTAGATAACCTGCCGCAAATGTTACATAATCTAATGTGTGTGTGTTTTGCTTGACCTTGCATTTAGCAGGTGGCATTTACTACCATGTGCTGCTAGGGCTCTTGTTTGCATTCTCATCAGTTCTAGCCTCCGGGTGGTTTTATTATGCTTCTTCCTTGTAATATTGGAAGCTAACATTTTGCCGTACAGTTTAGTGTTAGAGGAAACAAATGGTGTTTGTCAATTAGAACAGGAACAGAAATCATTCTTTAGTAGCATTTGTTTGGTCTTCAAATTCAGAAGGGATTTTGCTAGCGAACTGTAACATCTGACTTTGCTCTTTAATTCAGCTGATTGACATGTGCATGCAGAACTGTGGTCCAAGCTTCCAATCTCTGATTGTGAAGAAGGAGTTCGTTAAAGATATCCTAGTTAAGCTGCTGAATCCCAGATATACCTTGCCGTTGGACATTCAGAACAGAATCTTGAATTTCATTAAGGTAAGGCTGTTGATTTATATCAGGGGATGGTAAATGTCTAAGTATAGAAAGATAATAATACAGTTCTGGTTGTTGTAATGATCCTTTATTTACCTAGAATTGAAGCATAAAGCACTTTTCTTTCTCCCCTCCCATTCCCTCCCTTCTCTTCCCCTCCTCTTCTTTTCTCCTTGATATGATCTCTGTGGAACCAAGGATGATCTTGCATTACTGATATTGCCACCTCCACCTCCGAAGTACCCAGTTTCTGCAGTAGTAAGCTCTGAAGCCCTGGGTTGCTAGGCAAGCTCTCTACCAAGGGAGCTATATCCCAGCTGCATTTTATTTATTTATTTATTTATTTATTTATTTATTTATTTATTTATTT